AAGAAATAGAGGAAAGAACTAGGAGGCAAAGGGCATTATAGAGGTCTAAATACAGGCATGTACATATGTAAATATATTGACATATGACAATGGGGAAATAAATTTAAGGTAGCATGTGGACATTGGGCCTCTACTCAAGTACTCCCTCAATGCAAGAACACTTTGTTCTATTAACCTGGCATTCGATGATGCTCACCTTCCCACATGATTGCTGAAGACAAAGTGGGTACACGAGCAAATGTGGTGAAGAAAGCTGATGGTGCTCCTCTATCAAAAGATACAGCATCTGGGGTTTTAAACACTTAAAGATAAACAAGTGACCATCTAGCTGAGAAGCAACAAAGCCCACATGGAAGAAACACACCAGCCTGTGGGATCACAAGGTGTCAATGTGATCAAGCATCAGGCATCAAAGATCAAAAATATCATATCATTGTGAATGGGGGGGAGTGCAGAGTGGGGACCCAAAGCCCATCTGTAGGCAATTGATGATCCCTTTACAGAAGGGTCACAGGAAGGAGATAAGCCAGTACAGCACCGAGGAAACATACAACTTTCTTCTAGTTCTTTAATGCTTCCTTCCCCCCACTATCATGACCCCAATTCTACCTTAAAAATCTGTCTAGACCAGAGCATGTACACGGGTACAGATAAGACATGGGAACAGAGAATCTATAACAGATAAAACTCCTCAGGACCAATATTGAGAGTAGCCATACTGGGAGGGGAAGGGGAAGATGGGGGGAGAAAGGGGGAACTGATCACAATGATCTACCTATAACCCCCTCCCAGGGGGATGGACAACAGAAAAGTGGGTGAAAGGAGACATCGGTCAGTGTAAGATATGAAAAAATAATAATTTATAAATTATTGACGGTTCATGAGGTTTGAGAGGGAAGGTGGGGGAGGAAGGGGGGGAAAATGAGTAGCTGATACCAAGGGCTCAAGTAGAAAGAAATGTTTTGAAAATGATGGTAACAAATGTACAAATATGCTTGACACAACGGATGGATGGATGGATTGTGATAAGAGTTGTATGAGCCCCAATAAAATGACTTAAAAAAAAGAAAAGGTGACAAAGAACATGGTCATTTCTTCCCTTGAATTCACAGATACTGCTATTTGAACATTTTTCTAACATATAGATTTGATCAAATCCCTTTTTACCTAAAAACTGCCCCAAAAGAATAAGGCCTTTTCTCATTAGCCTGGCACACAAAGACATTTTTGACCTGGGAAGCTTTCCACCGGTGATTTTAATTCCCTATTAGAGAGCTAATCTGTCCCATGCTCAACCACGAATTTATTGCAACAGGAGCCCTGGTGGGGTAGTGGGCCACTTGCTGATCGGCTGCCCGAAGGTCAGCAGTTTGAAACCACCAGCCACTCTGTGGGAGAAAGGGGACGGTTTCGACGCCTGTAAAAAGTTAGCTTTGGAAACCCACAGGGCAGTTCTACTCTGTCCCATAGGGAGGCTGTGAGTATTGACTGGATGGCAGTGAGTGTTTTGGAAGTCGGCAATTCTCTTAATTTCTCCAAGATACAAGTTTCTTTCTGTGTAACAATACTAGCTTCCTTATATGGTAGTTTTGGTGTTAAGTTTCATTAAAATAACATGTTGTCCAAGGAGACCAGTCCCTGGCGAAGGATATCATGCTTCGTGAAGTGTTGGGGCGTCGTCAAAGAGGAAGATCTTGGACAAGATGGACTGACACAGCAGCTGCCCTGGGGCTTCACGTCGGAGGGACACTGGATCAGGCAGTGTTCCAC